ATGTACCATTGTATATCCTGTATATATTAATTCTTTTCTTGCACATGACAGTCCCACTGTTATTTAAGGGTACTTCTCTCAATTCCATATGCTGTTGACTAAGAAAATGTGATACTGATATTTTGAAACATACTGTGTCCTTTACACTTCCTCAAGATGGTTAAAAAAGTAATGAGTTCCAGATATATAATAGATTTTAATAAATATTGGCTGCTTATTAAATGAGATTACTAAAGCACCCTTAGAAAATTTGGATTATTGAGAATTTCTGTATTAGATTTTAATTGCTTTTCCCCCAATTATAGGGCTTTTGGCCCTTTCCAAATGCTAATAGCAATGTTATTTATTCATATATGTTAGTGTTTGATGGGGGTTATAGTGATGTATTTCCAAAAAGCTTAGAAACAAATTGTTCTATGAAAGTTATATCAGGAGACTCTATTCTCTTACTGAATACTGTTAGTTGTGTAGTTATATGCTTTGGATATGGTTTATTCCCCAAACTTTCATGTGCTGGAGGCTAGTTCCTGATATATCTATTTCTTGTATCAGATTTGATATAATTCAAATCTGAAAATAGCTACTCACAAGCATAAGATGATTCAAACAAAGTAAGAAAAGTAATCTCAGGTGACTTAAAATTATTTGGCAAAGAATGCCACACATTAAGGATTTCATTTTCAAAACTACTAACAGTGCTGTGTTTTGTCATCCCTTCATACTGTCTTCATTTTCTTAAGTTTTGCACACAGGTCATAGAATTAATTTTTCCAGACAGAGCTTTCTTTAAATTCCAGTAGCTGCATTCCCAGATTTCCAAAGTCTAACCAATGGAAGCAGGAAAGATCAAGTTTTTTAAATTTTGCATTATCTGGAGAAGAAAACACAGGGTTGTTTCCATCTTAGAGAACTGTAAAAATCTGTCACTAGAATTCTCCTTTGCTGACACATGCAGCATGGCTCTTGAGACTCTGGAAGAGTGGATGGTGGAGGATGAAGCAATGAAGACAAGAGTCAGAATGCAGAAAGCTGAGGTCAGGTGGAGCCCCTCTCCCGATGGGAGAAAGGAACCACCCAATGACTGCAGTGCATTTATTTATACAATCAGTAGAAGGTTGATGTCAGGCTTCGTCCCTCTCCTGACAGGAAAAAAGGCTGCCCAACAATTGCAATAAATTTACTTATAGTCAGCATAGAGGGCTGTTTACAGAGAACTTAAGGAAATGGCACGATCCGGCTCCCAACACTTTGCAGCTGCTACAATGCTAGAAATTCCTTGAAGATTTCCTGATGACTTGTAGGATTATCTGTAAGTGTTGTAGAATTTTTTAAAAGCACTTTTAGATTTGGAAAATATTTCAGCTACCCTCTTTCAAGGTCTGGGGTGACTTGACTTGAGTGCTGACAGAGGGCTCTGCGATACGTTCACCACCACTGGCCCAAAGGGAGGTATATCAGGAGGAATTAAGCCTTAGCTCCCGAGTTAGGTTTTGAGAGGATGGACTGGTTGTTATAGAGTGAATTCACCTGTCCTGGTAGCTTGCTCTCTTGCCCTATGATCCCTCCCTGCCCCTGTGTGCTCCCACCATGTAATGCTCTTCATGATGAAGTACTCAAGAGATGCTGATGCCAGCACCATACTTTGAACCTCCAGAACTGTCAGCCAGATGAACCTCTTTTTACATATAGTGCTCAGCCTCTGATACTTCGTTATGGCAATGCTAAACAGGATAAGATAATATGGAAAATTAAAGGACTTTATAAGTATATGACTGAAGCAACACTGAAAAACAAGTTAAAGAGCAGGGATTTGTCCACTGGATAGTAAGGCATACTGCAAAACTGCAGTAATTAACAAAAGTATGGCAGAGGCATAGACATGGAAAGAAAATTTATAAAACATAAAAGAGATTCAGAAAGGCAGTAGTAGTCTGGGAATTTAGAATATGAGATAATGTGTGTCAAATTATTTCACAAATGATAAGTGACCAAGCATTTGGAAAGACTTTTTTTTGGTATCAGGATCGAACTCCCAACCTTGCATTTTCCAGGCAGGCACGTATGCTGCTGAGCTAAATCCCCGGCTCTGAATAGACATTTTAAAAGTTAAATAATACAAAATTTATGCATTGACCAAGTACAGTCCCACATTCTTGTAATTGCAGTTGGTTGGGAGGGTAAAGCAGAAGAATTACAACTTTGAGGCCTGTCTGGGCAACTACAAAAGACTCTGTCTGAAAAAAGTTTTTAAACCAGGTATGGCAGTGCAGACTTGTAATCCCAGCACTTGGGAGGTGGAGGCAGGAAGATTGCTAAGGGTTTGAGGCCACGCTGGCCTACATAGTGAGACCCTGTTTCAAAACAAACAAGAAGCCCCCAAACAAACAAACAAAAAAGTTTTGAAAAATCCTGGGGCTGTAGCTCAGTGCAAATGCACTGGGTTTGGTCTCTAATATCAGGGAAAATAATTTTTATATAAAAATACATAAAATTTAAAATGTTTGCAATATATTGGATAAACCAAAGACTTCTGTTTCTAATATTCAGAGTCCTGATAACCTGAGGAAGAAGGCAATGCCAGGCATGGTGGTGTACACCAATAATCCCAACACTCAGGATTCTAAGATAGGGAGAATTATAAATTTGAGACCCCCTGGACTAGAGAGACACCCTGTCTCAAAAGCAAACAAACAATCCCAAACTATTTTTTACCTAAGGGAAAAAATATTGATAATATCTAAGGTTGCTAAGAGCATAGTGAATACAACATCTTCATTTATTGTGTTGGGCATACAGTTTCTTCTCTTTAATAAGAATGGTTAGCATAAAGCATAGAAAAATGAGACTGACCATACATAACCTCAATGACCTTTCCAAGTAATAATAGAATGTTGTAGAATAATAGAAGGTTTTTTTTATTTTGAGACAGGGTCTTGCAAAGTCACTAAGCTGTTTAGGCTGGACTTGCACTTCTGATCCTCCTGCTTCAACCTCCTGAAGCAGGCATATATTTTAAATAAGCTGGTATATATTTTAAATGTGAATAGTTTTGACCCAGAAGCTCCACTTCGACCAGTGCTCACACATTTTATTGCACATGTGTCATATGAGATTCCAATAGTAGTCTGAGGTGCCAGCCAAGCTTCTACCTCCCTAATAAGCTTACAGCAGTGGTGCTTGAGCTTCTGGCCTGTATACCACACTTTGAAGAGAGGATTTAGAGGGCCTTCTATAAACTAGTGGTCCTTTGCTCTGGTTGTACATTACAGCCGTCTGAGGAGTTTCTAGCAAATACTGGTGCTTGGCCTCACCTTAAATTACGTGATTTCTTTCAGCTGAGGCAGAGCATGGGTTTGTAAACACTCTTCAGGGAATTCTAATGTGCAGCTAGAATTATGCACTATGATCCTAAGGAGAAAATTGAATTATTCAAAAGATATATTTATGTGAAAAGCATGTTTTTTGCAACAGTATTTAACATACGGAACAATTGGAAATAGCTCAAATGTCCCTATATGAATTTATTGACATAGAAAGGTATCTGTGACATATTACAGAATAATGCTAGTAGCTATATGCTACAGGTATAATAGAACTCTGTCCATGTAACTTTATAAGTAAGGGTTTACATATGGTAAATGCATAGAGAGATCCACGGAAAGATGCTTATTAAAATAATAAAGTGGACCCTTCAGGTGATTTCAACTCTGTATAATTTGTAAAATCATATTAATTTGGGCAAGTAGAAAGGATTTAGAAAAATTTAAAACTCAAACCAGTGGGAGGCAGGACATAATTATCCATCAATTTAATCCATTTTATTGAAGAAAAATTGTTAAAGAGAGTGGTTAATATAAAACATTGAAAAATGAGACTGACATCCATAACCCAAATGATCCACCAGAGTCAATAATAAAGTGTTGGATATGGTAGTATCTGTGTCAGAGAGAGAGAGGGTGGAGAGCATAAAAAGGTCTCTTAGAATTGTTATCCAAATTGGAAAGTCACTCTTCAAAAATCAAGAGTACCAGAGTCTCAGATGGTGGGGTGCTGACACAGTATCACAAGAAAAGAAAGACATTAACAGTTATTGTTTAATAACCACTTACTAGCATTGGTTTCCCGGTAAAAAAACTGAGACCCAAACAAAGGGCTCAGAGCCCTTCTCCCCCCACCCCAAAGAATTGACGTTTCAATTCCTACCACTCCCTATCGAGCATCATGTGCTCTTCAAGCTCTGTCCCCTCAGTTACAGCTCATCCTCTATACAGTGTTCACCCCTGGGAAAATGAAACCTAGCCACATATTCCCTCTCTTCAGCAAAAGAGACTTTTGGACAGTACCTGCCCATCCTGTAACCATGGGATCAAAACCAATGTTAACTCCAAATCTCTTGTGTGATACTACCTGGACCAAGAGTTTGAAAATTTATGATTTTAGTAATCTAGATATTTTTTTACTCCACAGTCATTTAAACTACCTAAGAAATCCAAAAAGTCTAGTGCTATATTTTTTGACTGGTACACAGTGCAGTTTTAAATAAAATTAGGAAACTTTATACAATACCAGGTGACTTATTAAATCTGGTGCTGACACAATATGATAACTTTGAATATTCTGGCTTTCAAAGGATTTTTCTGGCAGACTTCTCTGGATGAGTCCTTGAGAAATCCTACTGCTACCTGGGGAGCGTAAGGAAGGGTCTGGAGTCTTCTTTATATCAGGAAATCCCAAGTTTGTTTTGAACTTGGCCAAAGGCTTGGTAGTCTCAAGTCCAAAGATAAATTCATTTTCCTCTTGGGTATTGCTTGGGTTTCTCTGAAGAATTATGGCTGCGTGAGAGGATATTTAATAGGGAACTCTTTTTCTTTATGACATCATCAGACAGAGAAGTAGCTAAGGAGACTCTTAGAACAACATCCAGTTTGATGGGAGCCCAAGAACAGCAGCTTTTAAAACTGAGGGTAAATAATAAGGCTTCAGTAAAATCTTGAAGACAAGCTAACTGATACAATATGGCATCTACACAGAAGGGCACAGTCTTTCAGATACTCAAGACAAATAAATCTGGGTCCAAGGTAGCACACAGAGAGCCTGAGTTTGCTAGCCCTACCTCCCAGCGGGGACACAGGTACGTTTTTACCACAAGTCAGCGAAATGCTGCCAGGTCTCAGAGCCCTTCTTCCCTCCAAAGAGTCGAAGCTGCACTTCCCACCGCTCCCCACTCAGCATCATACTCTCTTCACACTCTGTCCCCTCCGTCAGGGACCAGCCTCTATGCACCATCCACCCCTCGAGGAACTGAGACTCGATCACATGGTCCCTCTCAGCAAAAGAGCCAGCAAAGTCAGACAACACCTGCCCATCCTGTAAGCATATGTCGGAATGTCAAAGAGGGAGCAACTAGAAGAGGGGGTAAGATCAAGTCAGGGTGTGAGGTTGGCTGTTGCACCTCATTGACCTCAGATGCCAGATCCTCCCGCCGCTTGAGTTTCATAGATGAGAAAGATAATGTAAAATCACAAAACTATCAAGAAGAAGACCCACCTTCCAAGGTCCAGAACCCCCAAGGGGTCAGAGTTCCTCGCAGGATTTCAGCTAATCCAAAGGATGAAGCAGTACAAACCGAGCCCATTGGAAAGATTTTGACTGGTGAGGCCAGATCTCCAAGGAGTCCCACTAGCCCAGAGTATGGCAGCAGCCCGCTCCCTACAGCCTACCAAGCAGTTTATAGAAGGAGTCCTGCCCAAGAGTCACAAATGGATCCTCACTCCTCAGTTCTTTCAGAACCTAAGGCGTTGCATAGGAATATGAAATTGTCATCATCCCTTAAACTCTCTGTCCTTAAAGATTTAGATGGTGGACATCAAGTTCCTCCTGCACATTCAGAACCTGAGTATCTCTACAAAAATTCTGTCTACACTGAGACCAGGCCCTCAAAGGTCTTAATATCACCAGATGTGGAGACCTGCGTGAAATCCTCAATCCGAGACAACAAAGTCAGCCACAGGGTCACCAAGCCCTCAGGAGGACAGTCAGTGCAGTCAACTCTTCGTGCTACAGCTCGAGTAGTGTCTGAAAGCCCACGAAAATCTCACCTATATGCCATGCCAGTGTCCACTCATAAGCAGCAAACCCAAAGACCTGCAGAAACGAACTACATGTCCCCTGGACCTGCAATCAGGTATCCAGAACCCTTGCAAAAGCCCTCCACTCATGCAGAACTGGAACTGACTCCTCGGCCTTTACCTCCTCGATCCTTACCTAAGTATGGTCCTGACTCCTCATGGTGGGCCTTACTGAATCCTCAAGTTGAAATGCCCCAAAGCCGGCCGACAACACCTGATTTTGAGCCTAAGTCCCCTCCTCCCATAGACACATTAAGATCACTTTATGAAATGGACTCAATTCCTTTCTGTGAGGACCTGATATTCCAGAGACAGAAGGCAAGCCCACCACTACCATCATCACTGAAGGTGTCTTCAAGCCAGTCACCATTGACAGAATTGCCACAGGACTTCAAGCACACCTGCAAACAACTCAATCAAAGGTTTAATGCTTTCTTCCTGGGTATGTGAAGAAGACTGTCCAGGTGCAACCCCAAGTTAGTGAGGTGGAACATTGGGGTGGGCAGGAAAGGCCCCCTCTTCAGTCTTGGCCTCAGAGGTGCTCTGCTGCCAAGTGCCAAAGCTCTCCATGAGTACAGTGTTCCATGCTTTTCCTGCCAGCTTCTCTGAGCACCAAGCTAATGACATTGATGATGATACCTGATGCCCATCAGGCATTGACTCTTCCAGGCAGTGCTGCTTAACTTTTCAGTGGAACGTAGTAGAGTGGTTTGCAGGGATTGAAGCTGGTTCCTGAGAGTGGAGATGAAGAACTGAGCAGGGGTGAGGGCTAGTAAGGGCTGTTATGAAGGATAAGGGTGTCAAGGAAGTAATCTGGCATCAAAGTGAGATAGGTGGGGTGTCGATGAGCTGGGACTTAGGATTCCAGGAGGGGAAATAAGTGTTACAAATGGCACAGAGGAAGGGTGGAAAAAGGGAGAGAAGTAGTGGCAATGTGATATTTGGTCATAGGTGAGAGGAGCTTCTTAGGGAAGATCAAGTGTTGAGTGTACCTTCGGGTAGCAACATAAGCTAGAAAGGGAGATATAAGTAGTGTGTATGTCGGGGAGAGCTGTCATCTGACAGAGAAAAGCAACAGTCTCTCTGTTACTTTTAGATGTCTCTGAGGAAATGCAAAATCGAATCATCTGGTGGCTAAAAGGTCTGTACTCTTCTCTCCTGTTGATCCACTGTGGGGCCCTGGGGAGTAGCAGGATAGGCAGAGAGTGGCTTCCGTGTATCTCTTTCTAGAACTGAGGTTTTAGGTGAGTACGTGCTGGAGTTTAGACCTGAAGGAGCAGAGGAAGTTTTCTTCTTGCTTCAGATTCCATCATTAGAGCTATCTGTTTGAGAATTTGAGTTTTTGTTTTCAAGAGTCATCTTTGAATGGGAAATAACTTCAGAATGAATGACAATTTAAATCTTCTTTGCCATTTCAATTTAGCTGGTATTACCTGTCAGGTGCCAAAGCAAAGCAAAATAAACAAACCAAGCAAACTATCCATTTCATAGTCTCACTCAGGGCTAATTCAGGTTCGGTTCTCTTTTCATATCTCTGGTTCCTCAGAGCCCTCCTCAGCGCCCCACCCCCCGCATGTTGAATGTAGTGAATGGGTACTGCTCAGGAACATCTCCAGGGATGTGTGGGCCGACCCTTTGAGGTTATCAGTGGTTCTCACAGCCAACTCTAGAATCCTTAAGAGAAGTGTCCTCAGCTCGCATGACTCTCTTGTTTCCTTTTGACTCCTGAACAGTCTGTTGGCAGGGGATGGTGAGGTCTAGGTTTCATAGAGTGAATCTTGGCCCCAGGGAGTTGTTTGATTTGAGTATTGTGACCTGAGTTCAACTCTGTGTGCCATAAACACCAGAGGTCTGAGCTCAGGATGGAGAAGTTCCTGGGTAGAGGGGAGCTCTTGGAATGCAATCCAGTCCCAACCAGCATGAGTCCTCTAAACCGTAGATAAAAAGCAGAGAAGGGGAAGCCAAGCTCCCTATAGTAGGTGTGTAGTAAAATGTGGATTTAGAAATTGTCTTGCTGGGATTTGCACCCTGTGTCCTATTTCCTTTCCTTCTTCAAGCCCTGGTTTCCCCATACTACATGTGACAATGACTTCCTCTTAGGTTATTGTGAAGATTAACAAAGCTATTACATGGAAAGCACTTAGCATTGTACTTGGCAACAGGTGACACCCAGTAAATGACAACTTGTTAGGAGGAAGGGATTTGGGCCAGGTTATTCCAAATTCCACTGGGCATCTTCAGTAAAATTCTCTTTTTCTCTTCCTGTTGGCATTTTCTAAATTCCATTTGCTGCCCCGTGGGAATGCCTGGCTTCTACTCTATTACAACAGATGAGGAGGTAAGAATGCTCCTAGGAGGTTATTTCCAGTTTTCCTGTGCTCCTGCCTCTTACCCAAGTCCCACGCCTGTCCTCTGATGGAAGTGGGTATGAAGGGGAGACACTGCTGTTCCTGTGCTGGGAGGGCTGTGCACTCCGCAAGGGCACCTGAGTTCCACTTGCTAAGCTGTGTACTGCTTGTGCTGCACCTTCCTCCAAGGGAGATTTGCACAGAAGTGTCATATGAACTATCTGTAGCTCTGGAGAGAAAGAATAGAGATCTTTTGGAAGATGATAAATATTGCCAAGTGCTCTATGAGACGAATGGGTAGCCATGGGTTGGGTCCCCACCTGGCTTTTGCCTCTCCTGCCTGGGATCCTTCAGAAAGGAGTTGCTTTTCTGGGTTACACACTATTTGGGTGCTCAGTTTGGAAAACATAGGTGGGCTCTGCTCTTGGCAGGTCTGTGTCCTACATTGGGCAGAGTGTCCTGATTTCACAGTGCATTTTTTAGTTCTCATAAGTTCTTTGGCTCTGCTTGGCCTGTGTTTGATAAGATGGTCAAAGCTTTTCCTGCTTCCATTCTTTATCTTGCCATATTCCTATTTTATCCAAAGCCTAGCAGTGGTCTCTAAAGAGTCTTGACCACAGGCTGATTGGCCTAGAATGAACAGTTGATTACAGATGGGAACTTAATGGGGGCTGGGGAGCGCAGCCTGAGCTCACATAACAGAACAGCTGAAGGGGAGGTGTTTAGGAATGTGGCTGCCACCCCCTCTGCTATGAGATATAATTCAGCCCAAGGCTCTGACCTCAACTATCAGTTGAGGAGCAGCCACTTTTAGAGATTATCACCCATGAAAAACAATAAGTTGCCCTTTGCCTTCCTCCTTCCTTTCCTCCCTTCCTCTCTCCCTCTCCCATCCTCCCTTCCATAGATAATTGTTATTCAGATACCTGGCACTGTGCTAGGAGCTTTTGGAGGAATTTCATAACACATATTCTGTGGCTTTGAGAAGCTGACCACTTGGATCAAGAAATAAGTCATACACTGGAAACATTTAAACAATATGCAGTAGTCCGTGTTCATATATCAAACAACTACTGGAAGTGTAATTCCATCATTCAGGAGGCTGATAGGAGGACCATGTGAGTTTGAGGCCAGTCTGTGTTACATAGTAAATTCAAGCCCAGCCTGAACTAAGACCCAGTCTTAACACATACACACACACACACACACACACACAATCAAACTAAGTATTCTTGGAGGGTGTTAGGAAAAGAGAGTCAGCAAGACTTAGTGGGGGGTTTAGACAGGAGGAGATATCTTAACATCTGGCCTCTTATCCCTTAACACAAGTTTGAACCTTTTGGAAGAGGTACTATTTATTGCTCTTCATTCAAGATGTGACTTTTTTGACTGAGCAGGCTCCTCCCTCTTCCCCCTTTTTCTTTGCATCTTGTTTTAGTTTAGGAAGTCAAAAGCTTTGGCAGCAAGACAGCTCCTTCCCAAAATAGCTCTTATCCTGTCTGGATAATTACAGCTCTCCAGCCCTGTTCAGAGGCAGAGCTTTCCCTAGAAACTGGGAAGAAAAGCTGGGCTGCTGGTCTTCTCTGACTGTCTGGAGGTAGGATGGCTTGAAGGAGTGTCCTTCTAGAATATAAGCAAGTTAGGCTTTCCTCAGCCTGTCCCAGGCTGTAGAGTCCCCGCTACGCCAGGCTGGAGACTGTGATGCTGGTGTCTGAGGTCTCAGGTTCCTCTGACCTAGGAACAGTTGACTGTTTCAGATTTCACTCCCATCAGAAATTCTCTGGTGGTATAGCCCCAACACATGGCTTATGGAAGAAGCTTTACAAGTTCCTCTGGATCCACCAGATCCAGAGTGTATGTGTGTGTGTGTGCCCAATTCAGCCCATGTTTCTCTGTCTTTTCCAAATGACTCCTCAAGCCCCAATTTTCTTCATTCATTCATTTGTTTTTCTTGATATCTGGTCTCACTATGTAACCCAGGCTGGCCTTGAACTCATTTATGTAGCCCAGGCTGGTCTTGACCTGGAAATCCTCCTGCCTCAGCCACCCAAGTGTTGAGATTACAAGTGTGTGACACCATGTCCAGCAAGGCCCTATTTTCTAAGGAATGGGAGAGATAGATGCCTCTTACCGTAGGTTTGGGATATTAAGGGCTAGAGTTTCCCCAGAGGAGGTTGTAGTAGACTGAGGAAAGCACTCCTGATGATGTGGTTGTTGGCTTTGTTTGTTTTGGTGTTTTGTTGGTTCAGCAGAGCTGCCTTCTTACACATCCCTGGGGAGTTCCTAAAAATAAGCAATTCTTGACAAGAGAGGCTAGTGTCCTGCATCTTCAAAATACCTGAAGACTTGCTGTGAATGTGACTTCTCCAGCTGTCGGATAACCAAGTGGTTTTCTCCTTGCTATTTCTATCAATTATGCAAGAAACCAACTCTGGAAAACAGACCAGAAACCAGAAGAGGCCATCTCAGTATACAGAGGCAGACTTGTGTCCTTACTGTAACTTGTCATTTGACTCCTCAGGGATAGGACTGTCAGCCTTCGTTTGGTTTCTAAACTGAGGGCACTTTTGTTGAAGGGCACTTTGTCTACTAAAGAAAACTCAAGACCTCTGAGGAACCTGAGAAGTCTCTGCGTTCCTGCATGACAGGATCCTGGGATGTGGCCTGTCTGAGAAAAGAATCTCAGAAAAATGTCTTTCCTGCTTCTTCCGTTCCTCTTGCTTTGCACAGAGGCTCAAAGTTAAGAGGAAAGGGAATTATCTTTTTGTTTGCTTGATAGTTTGCATTTTAAAAAAATGTTATAGAATGTTTCATGAATTTGTTTGTCACCCTTGTGCAGGGCTCATGCTAATGTTCTTTGTGTGGGTCCAGATTTAGTGTATGTGCTGGTGAAGTGAGCACTGTTTGTACTTTTGGAGACAGGCTCTCGCTCTGTAGTCCAGGCTGGCCTTGTACTCACTGGGTAGCCCAGGCTGGCCTCAAACTTGTGATCCTTCTACCTCATCCTTCCAAGTAACCGAATTAAAGGCATGCATCATCATGCTATGAAAGGGGGAAGGCATCGCTGAAATGGAGCTGTGAAAAAAAATTGTTGAAATAGAGCAGAACAGCTGAAAATGGGGCAGGACACCTCAGGGGGTTTTTCATAGAAGCTTGACCCCCACTATATAGCTTCTTAGGAAGAAGCAGGCATCATATCATGTCAAGTGGCCCTTTGTTCATCTAAAGCTACTATGGGTAGCCAGTTTCAGAGCAGGATGAAAAACCGGTGACTTCTAGCCATGACTTGCTAATTTGGGGACGAGCGAGGTTGACTAATTCATAAAGGTTTAGCACTAAAATTTCTGTGTTACAAGAACCGCCTTCAGCCCTGTACAAACTGAACATACAGTCAAACTGAGCAAACAGTCATACAGAGCAAGATGTGGTATCCTCTGCCCTAGCAAGAACCCCTGGAAGCTCAGGATGAGGTGACTTCCTGTTTTTCACTTTGAGACCTGGGAAGTTTACTCGTTTGGCCTGTGAAAGGGAGATGGGAAAATGTGATGTCTTCCTCTTGGTTTTATGGCAGAACTGAGACCAGACTCTCTTCGTGTTTTTTGCTGTTGGTCTGCCCAGAATGATCTCACACAGTGACAAACTTGCCACATTCATTTTGGACTTCCTGATATATTTTCAGAAATTACTTGGTTCCCTGACTGGAGTCCTTCTCAAACGTATCTTTCTGTCAGAGTACTGTGGTGGGTGTTTGAAATGGTAAGTCTTCCAAGTAAGAGCAGCATACTTGGGTCAGGAAGACAGTCTGTAGCCCAGAAGCCACCCTGACAGCTGCTTAGCCAGAAGAAGGCTGTCCTGTGTGGCAGAAATGGCCATGTCTCTCTACCTTCCTCTCCTCAGCTGCCTTTGGCTCAGCTGCTGTGAGAGCAGCAGCAAGAGACAGCTGCATGTTGGGGGCTGAATGAAGGCCTGAAGGAGGGGAACAGAATGTGAGACAGTTCCTGAGAACAGCACAGGCTCTGAGCTTGAATAGAAGGATGGGCCAGCAAGTCTCCTATGGTATAGTCACCTCAGGCAAAGTCACCCAGCTCCAAGAGGGGCTCCCCAGTGGCTGTTTTCAGGAATTTGGGTCAGTAGGTCTGAGAGATCAAGGCCTGCTTTCTAGAGATGGAGTGGTGACTAGTTGGAAAAGCCAGCTCCACAAGTGGCAGTAGGATGATCTTTCCAGCGTCACTGTGGTCTAAGGCATTGCTCTGCTAGTCTCTCTTCTGCCATCTGTCTCCACCCATTACACATGCATGCACATTCCCACTCTTTTGGAAGGAAGGCATTTGAAATAGTCACGGTTGCCAGTGGTTGGTTTGGTGTTGATAATATTCTCATTAGCAGGGATAATAGCTACCATTAGTTAGTTTTAGTGATTGTACCATTTTAAGTGTGTCAGTGAATCTTTATAGCAACCTTTGAGGTGGACTTCTTTCTCCCTAATCCACAGATGAAGAAACTGAGCTCAGAACTTGTTCATCAGAGATGGGAGCAATTTAAGGAGAATCTTGTATTAGGGATTCAACCATGTAATATAGATATCCTTTATCTGTAGCCACATCGTCCTAGAAAATGACCTCAATATTTCAGCCATATCAGGAATTGTGAAGGGAAAGATTTTAGTGGAAGTAGCTTTAGTATCTTTGCATGTTGATTTTGAGACAAGGGAGGTAAACATGAGCTTAAAGCAACTAGAATTAATTAAGGCTGAGTGATGGGTCAGTGAAGGCCAGAGCCTCGAGGCTTTGTGCTCTAAAATCAGAGTGGAAAACTAATCAGTGTGTTCTTTTAGTCACTCCATATTGATCAGCCAGCTCCTGGGGGTGTGGGCCTAGTCATGCAGGCAGAAATCACAACACATGCTCACATGTTAATAGAATTGGAGAGCAGAGGTTAAAATAGAAAACACTCTCCTGCCCTTGAAGGGCTTGTGGTTAATTTGGGAGAGAAAAGTAGATAGCTGGGTCATTTGAAAGGGTATGGATATCCACAGACAAAGCAAAGTCTAGTGAAATGAGTCAGCAAGGCTTGTAGCATGGGAAGTACTTGGAGAGAGCCAACAAGAGACGGATTTTGGCTCAGGATAATAAAGACCTTGATAACTCAAGTGCCTGGAGGTTGAAGGACAGTTAATAGTCAGTGAAATTTTGGCATGAGAGACACTGAAACAGGCTAGGATGGCAAAGGAGTTATTGCAGACAGGCATTTGACGGGTAGTCAGTCACACGAGGAGGTATGTAAGTCTCTTTCAGCCCTGCGCTCCTGTGGCTCTGTCCTCCCTCAGAGGAGATGTTGGAAATTGCTGCTTTTTAGCACCCTGCTGGCTCTACAATACCCCTCCTGCAGTGGTTCATCAGGTGCCAGGAAGCATAATGCTTCTCAACCTTGCCACCGACATCTTATCTCTGCTCTAGGATGGAGGACTGTAGATGACAGTTGGGGGAGAAATAGGCTTGAGGTACTTTGGTTTCTTGCCATGGCACAGATCTTGTGGGATAAACTGGCTGAGGCTGAAAGACACATCCCAGTGATTGTCCATTGGCCCCACCATAACTATCTGACTATATTATCAGTGACTCATTCACTTCTAGGAGAAGGGAGGTACAATTAGTGCTTGCATCACTTAAGGGAAACAGTTACTGAGAGGCAAAATGAGCCTTTGCTAGTCAAGCAGATCTGAAATCCTGATTTCTTTGTAGTAATCATTCTTTATTATTGGTTTTGAACTTGAGCCCTGACTTGGCCCACATGCAGTCTTCTTAAACCCTGTGCCATACAACCTTCACCAGTGGGTAGGCAGGAAGGATCCAGAGGAGAGGACCAGGAGGTTTACCCTACAGACTATGTGGGTCTGACCTAAGTAGAAGAGAAAGGACATCAGGGTCAAGTCGTGGTTGCTGAATGAATTTCTCAGAGGAGTGATTCTCTGTGCCAAGCTAAGTGTCCAGTTCCTAGGCACTTAGTCCTCTACCCTAGCAGTACCTTGGGGAACTGTGCTCTGGTCAGGGACATCTATGCCTGGGGGGATGTTGAATTTCAAGGAAGATCCAGAGCTCCATGAGCTGAATAGTGCTGACCGCAAAGTTGGTCAGACCACATGGGGGGAGGTAGGAGAGAACATTCAGTCATCAGTGACTTACACAAGGGCTGCTGGATATCTCCCTGCTTCTGACCAGATAGGGGGCCCTATCTCTGTCAATGCAGAATGAGAGAACTGGAGTTGGGAGAGTCCAGCCTCCTTCACTGAGGGAAAAAGAGGTCCAGGAAGGCCTGTGAATTTTAAGATACTGAGATACCAGTAATGCATGGGACTTACGCCAAGATCAAGTTCTGTCAGAGCCCTCTAAATGATACAGGGTTAGCATTAAGGGCCTGAGCAAGTAGAATGAATCAACTTGTATTCAGCTTTTATTTGACCCAGCATGTGTTATGGTGGGCCTATGGTACAGGGTTAGAAAGGGAATATGGGCCATCAAGACTCCTTGATTCTTGACTTGGAGCTGGGTTCCATGGCCACAGGCTTCTCTTCCCTCAAGGCAAGTTGGTCTCTGCACCCAGTGTGCTCAGGACACACATAGCCTCTGGAGCCTGAGAAGCAGGTGCTAGAGAAGAGCTAGGATTCTGGTGACAGCCGAGGGTAAGCTAGCTGAGCCATTCCCCACCTCTCAGAGCTGAAATTGAATCCAAGGCCTTCAAAATGTTAGGGCCTTCAAAATGCTAGGCATTCCATTAAGTTGCCCTTTGAGATGTTTCTCTGTCCACACTTGGAGGGGGAAATAGCAAGAAGGAAAGACAGGACTTTGCAATGGGGCCTACCTTCTTTGACACAAATTTCCTCCCCTACCAGGCCACAAGACTGTTTCCTGAAAGCACCTAAGAGGCATTCCTAGGGGAGTGTATATATGAATACTACTGGCCTGGAACTAGTGGTGCTTTGTGTAACCCAAATCCGACATTAGAAACCAATAGCCTTTGGTTTTAATGTCTTTTTCTTGAGTACTGCTTCCTTTCTCCTAGTCTACCGCAGGCCATTGCTGGGAACCTTCATGTCCAGGAGTCTCTATCCTTGGAGCCAAGCTTTCAGGCCCACATCCTGTGCCTCCAGGGCTTTCTCCTAGGTGTCTTTATGGCCCAGATTTTCTTTAGCATCTTCAGCTGCTGTCCTGATCTGTCTTTCTCTAAAGCCTAAAGCATACACTCCTACCTCTCTGCATCTACTTTTTAGAGTGCCAGAAACTTTTTTTTAAAATTTAGAAATAATCTAATTTAACTTTCCTCATTTTCAGGGAGTGAAAACAGAGCCTTAAAGATGATGTGAGTTGACAAAGGTCACCTACCTAGAAAATTTTCTCCTCAGCCCACTTGATCATGAATATTTGCCCCTGATGTCTTTCAGCAACAGCACTCCTTAGCCCCTAATCCACCACTCTCAAATATCCAGTCATCTCTCCAATAGCAGCCCTGTGTTTTTCTGAGCCTGATCTCAATGCCCTCTTTTCTCTTTGGGCTGAGTTCTGATGGGCCCAAAATATGGTCAGTAGTTCACAGATTAGAGAGAAACAGGGTAGGCAGATGTCTGGCACTTCTTCCCTTAGGAGAACCATGCTCTGTTCAGTTTTGTCCAGAGAGCAATCAGCCTGCCCTTAGGGGAACGCTTTTAGGGGGCCAGAGACAGGTATAGTTCCAGAAACTTCCACAGGAGTCTGGCAAGTTCAGAACCTGCTTAGCTCAGGAAATCCCTCACCAGCTCCCCACCCCCAAGCATCTATCTTCCCAGAGATGTGCTGTGACCCTTCTGCGCTTCTAAAGCTGCTGAGGTTCCTGTACTACAATCTCACCTGTCAGGGGAAGAATGGCCC